ATCAACCCCAGGACAGGTAGCAGAACTTCTCTCCTGAAATCCCCAGCAAGTCTTCCACTTCATCAGCACAAAGTATAACTAGGCCTCTGTTGAAGAACAACTGGGGTGCCAATGGATGGCAGGACCTGACTCTAATGAAGAGTGCCACCTGCTGGCACTGCCTACCATGAATGAATCTGCCGTCATGCAGCTGAAATAGCTCGTTGCAAAGGATAACAAGTAACGCGTTTCAGTCAGCTTTCCAACGCTGACAGAAAACAAGACACGTGTGGATGAAATCGCAGACCTCGTCCTCAAAGTGTCAGGTTTTTCTGTTGAGCAAGCCTGCTTTATTGTGGGTGGCGCTGTGGTCTAAACCACTGAGCCTCTTGGGCTTGGTGATCGGAAGGTCGGCGTTTCGAATCCCCACGCTTGAGTGAGCTCCCGTTACTCTGTCCCAGCTCCTGCCAACCTAGCAGTTCAAAAGCACACCAGTGTAAGTAGATAAATAGGTACCGCTGCAGCGGGAAGGTAAATGGTATTTCTGTGCGCTCTGGCTCCCATCATGGTGTTCCATTGTGTCAGAAGAGGTTTAGTTATGCTGGTCACATGACCCAGAAAGCTGTCTGTGGACAAACGCCAGCTCCCTCGGCCTGAAAGCGAGATGAGCACCACAACCCCAGTCACCTTTGATTGGACTTAACTGTCCAGGGGTCCTTTACCTTTTTTACCTATTGCTGCAGTAGTAAAGCAGTAGCAAAGCTCTGAGGCTTTTGCCTATAATCGAGTGGTATAGTAATTTTATGAAATAAATAAATATCCTCCACCTCTCTGGGCTCCAGTTGCTGAGTCACAATAGTCCAGCATAGATTTCTGAATTAAAATTGTAAATGGAGTTTTAGAGGATTTTGTATGAAGCATTTTGGGTCTGAACTAATGCGGTGACCATGTTGGTACTGGAAATAATAATAAAAAATGTCCAGTAGGACCTTCGAGACCAACTAAATTTGTTCTGGGTATAAGCTTTCGTGTGCATGCACACTTCTTCAGATACACTGAAACAGAAGTCACCAGACCCTTACAGGTATATATAGTGGGATGATGGAATGGGGTTTTTCTCAGAAGGGTAGTAGGAGATGGGTGATTAACTCAATGGGTATGGTGAACCTGTTGACAACTGGTTGGTACCGTGTAAGACCCCAGATCTCACTTTAATCTTATTGGCATCTGTAGCAATAAAATGCAAAGAGGATTTTTATTGTCTGTCATCCAGTGGGATACCCTGGCTGCCAACTGAGGAAAGGTGAGAAGGAGAAACACAAAACCTTCCCTCATAGGAAAGTTCGCCAAGTTTTCTGGGAGTCCACACTATTCATCACTGTCCTTCAGAAGAGGACCATTCCTTATCAGCGAAACACTAATCCAAGGCAGCTGCTCTCATAAGTGCCTGTCCTTTTAAATCCACATAAAAGTAAAACAGATATGCTCTTTGCCTGTAAGTTGCAATTAACACTGCTGAGTCAACTGTCTTTAAAACTGTCCAAAAATGAAAACAAACAAATTAGAGCAAAAAAATGCTTGCATTAGCAACTAGTGTAGTGTAGACTTCTTAGCCAGCCTTTCCCTTGCTGCACTGTAAATAATTCTCTGTAAACTCCAAGCTTACAGACTCTGAAAGCACAAACGTTGATTCAACAAATGAGTCACCAACCTTTTTTAGGACCAGTGGGCATATTTTCAATTTCGAGAAAGTACTATGGGCCACAGTCAGAAAATGGCTGTGTGGGTGTGTGGCATGACACAAAGAGCAGGCAGAGGGACATAACATGATACTCTATCAGGGAGAGGCCTCTCACTGCTGTCCCCCCAGTACGAGGAAAAATATACAAAACTACGCCAATATACAAGGTGGCAACAACACAGACACTATCACACACATAGCACACTCTCACTGGACATAAACCAATCCTTCAAGTTAAAAGAAAGGAGTTTCCCACTAAAGCTGACCCAGAAACTCCAGTGGGTGCAGAATGCTGTGGCGAGGCTCCTTACGGGGTCCTTGCCGCGGGATTACATTCATCCAGTGATTTGCCAGCTGCACTGGCTCCAGGTGGAGTACAGGGTCAAGTTTAAGGTGCTGGTTTTGACCTTTAAAGCCCTATGCAGCCTAGGACCCTCATACCTATGGGACCACCTCTCCTGGTATGCCCCGCGGTCCACAAATAACAACACTTTGGAGGTCCCAAGCCGCAAGGTGTTAGATTGGTCTCAACTAGGGCCAGGGCCTTTTTGGTACTGGCCCCGACTAGGTGGAACGCTCTGTCACAAGAGACTAGGGCCCTGTGGGACATGACATCTTTCCGCAGGGCCTGCAAGACAGAGCTGTTCCTCCTGGCCTTTGGTTTGGACTCAGTCTGACCCTTATGTTTCCCTCCCCTTATGGTTTTGATTTATGGGCTACTATTAAAATGAGGCTGCATTTTAAATTGTATTTTAACCTGTATAAATTGGTTTTTTGTTTGTTTCCGCCCCTATTATGTTTTATTGTAATTTTATTGGTGTTAGCCGCCCTCTGGCCAGGGAGATTTGCCCGTGGATTTGCGCCCCCTAACCTGTGGATTTGCGCCCCCTAACCTGTGGATTTGCCCTAACCCCAGATGTTGCGCCCGGTGCGGCCGGCACCCCCTGCACCCCCCACGCTACGCCACTGCCTTCATTTGAGGCTTTTAAGCAGAGTTGGGATGGCCATCTGTTATGGATGCGTTAGTTGAGATTTCTGCATTACAGAGGGTTGGACTAGATGGCCCTTCCAAGTCTTATGATTCTATGACCTTGGGTTATAAACTAAAATATGCATGCTAGGCATGCCTGATCCTATAGAATACAACTTGACTCAAATGCTTAACTGCGCTTAAAACCACGAATTTCACAAGAGACACATATTCATAGCGGAGCGCATGCAACTCTTCTGAATCCTTGTTTTTGACATGGAGCGACTTATGTTTTTTACAAGCTTAACCAACTGAGGAATAGGCAAATGTCACACAGCCCATCTTAACCCTTTCCGGACCGGGTGGGCGGGGCTTCCCAATGCGTTAGTACCGTATTTTCTTGCTGATGTTTCTGCAGCACGAGCAAAAATAGATAAAAAGTCATTATTTCGAGTCAATGGTTTGCCAAGATTAAACTCCCGTCCCCTGAGTCCCGTTCTGCCTTTGCTTGGTGCAACATTAAAAATAAAATAAAAATCCAGCCAACTAAGGCTTCTTCTTGCTCCCCTATGTATATTTACTTGGGAGTAGGCGCCACAGACGTCGGTGTCTTTCACCGCTGAGCAAACGTGCATGGGACCGGGTTGCACGTGAATTCAGGCTCCGGCAGTAGATCTAGGAAAAGAATCGGGAGCTGGAAGGGACCTACGGTACTTCCTGTCATTGCAGGCGATCTCTTATTGGTCGGGCTTGCGATGGAGCAGCCGCAGAGGAAGGAGCGGTAAGAGTAGATCGCGCATGCGGAAATGCCGGTGCTGCAAAGAGCAATAGGAGCGGGTAGGGGGGAGGGGAGAGGTGCTGGAAATATGATCGTTGGTCCTTGAACTTGTCAGATCAACAGATCTTCTCTCCATAATAAGATAACAATGCATCTTTTACAGCATGCAGTCTTTCCAGGTCTGCGGGGGGGGGGGGGGTGCGGTCAGAAATGAACATTACGCTGGTTTGCCTTCTGCCTATCTCATAGTCATTATAAAATCAGCCCTTGACGTCCAGATGTCAGGATGGGAGATTATTAGTAACGTCACACAAATACCGCTCCCTGCTCCCAAATCTGAAGTGTGCAACATTTTAAAGGATTTGGGCATCTGTAATGAAGGCGCAATAACACAAAAGGGCTATTAACAGCTTCCATTTATTTTGCATGATGAATACGTATAATGCAGTACCATGGGCAGATCCTTGCTTTACAAAGAACAAAGCTGAACAAAAATGAACCATCTTAACAAGGAGGGAGCAGGGATTCAGATGCCATGAAATATTTTGGTTTAAACCAGGGTTTCCCAAACTTGGGTCTCCAGCTGTTTTTGGACTACAACTCCCATCATTCCTAGCTATCAGGACCAGTGGTCAGGGATGATGGGAACTGTAGTCCAATAACTGGAGAAGTTTGGGAAACCCTGGTTTAAACCATATATATATATATATATATATATATGTGTGTGTGTGTGTGTGTAAGTGTGTAATGTAACAAATAAGGCTATGTTCTTGGATCTTATTCTGCAAACCACATTCTTGTTGGTTGCCTGTACTACAAGGTACTATTTGATAAATCACCTACAAGGTACTATTTGATAAATCACCATAAAGTTCCCCAAACCTGCATGATCAAATGCACTTAGCAGAGTAACATGCACAAACGAGAGCTTGTCTGCATGTGCAGAAAGCAGCAACTGTGTAGCAATTACCATTTAATTCAAAGGCTGGAGGGGAAGAACTGTAAATTATCTGGAGTTGCAGAATTAAGTCTTTACCAATATGGCCCAAGCCTATCTCTGCAATAACCACTCACCTGCGTAACTTTCAGCAAAAAATGAATTATCATCCAGAGATTGAAAACTATACGGATGCCGTGGCCAAGGTAGCTTTTCCTTTCCATGTTCACAAAAAGAATGTGATTTTTATTCATGCACCCTGCCATCTAGAAATGTGAAGCCTTCCCTGTCCGCCCCCCCCCCCAACTAGCCAGGTTTGAAACTGCAGCTGCTGAAGTGGAGCAGGACTTTTGCATGACACTAAAATATGGGAGATGGTGTTTTAGGAAGCTATCCTGTCCCAAGATGGGTGGAATTAATCTTTGTGCACACAGCAAGCCGGTTACTCGCACACAACTTTCACCTACTCGCTTGTAAAACCAATTCATTCATACACTCTTAAGGTTTGGGTCCCAAAGCATATATATCTGCAACACGAACACTGTTGGGCAGCACCAAAAGACAGGAAAAAATAAGGATGGGAGCAACAACAGGAGCAAGGAAATGTTTTATTGAAATGTAGGGAGTCAATTCCACATATGAAAAGCTTATTTTTTCCAATACCATATTTAGAAGACTCAATTTGTCTCATAAATGAAATGTTCCATTCTAGCCATTTTATCACTTCGGAGATACTTGATGCATTGTAGCTCACTTTGACCAGTTTTGAGAATTCTTGTTAAAACCAGCTCATGTACTGACCCGACAAGGGAAAGCACAATAATACTTAAGTCAGTAAAAAAAAGCTCACATTTACCACCTTATATTCCAAGGGGCTTCAGACTGTTAAGTTTACTACATCTCCAGTTACAGTAATCTTCCCATCAAGCAGTAACACATTGAATCAATAGAAAGTTTTTCTAAAGATAGGGAACTGGGTGCATCCTTTCCTTTTCTGACTGTAGCAATGTAGATGAAAATGTCTACTAGGAAGCTGGAATTTAATGGCAGTCCAGGTATCTCAAAAACTTTTCACTGCCCTGTGCACAGCTCGTTTTAAATTTAGTTGCTATTGTAAAGTTGGCATCTTGAAATTTAAACACTCTCATTTCAGCACTAGTGGGGTTTGTTTTTGGTTTTTTTTACATGAATTTATTTGTTGCTTATTCTATCCTTACCAAGAAAATTCTGTGCATACTAGCAGGTAAATCCCTGACACCCTAGAATGCATTTTGGTCCTAATATGCTACAGTATTATTAAAAAAGAAAATAAAGTTGTTTTCTCAAATGATCATGTTGATTGAATATTATCAAGATTGAGACTGGAACAAGTTTTATTTCAAAAACTGCCATTTACCTACCAATCCTAAAAATAGGTGAAACCCCATTTCTATGGCTAATGGTTTTGCTGCATTTTATGGAATGCCATTTTTAAAATAGGACCAGTACAACTCCTGTAACACCAGTGCATTGGGGAACCTGCTTAGTAAAGACAGCTTATGATGAATAATCACCTGCAGAAGAGGAATACATAACAGCTTTATGATGGCGATTATCCCCATTTTAAAAAATATTTTATTACCTAAAAAATAATAATTTAGTTTTATCAGTTGCATTCATCCCATAATACAATTATAATCATGTAAAGAAAAGGACTGCAATGGTGCTGCCTCAGCACATCTCTGCCATATTCCACACTGGTGGGGTCTGAAGAGAGGTCAGTATGATTTAAGAAGCATAAGAACACAGGGTTCAAAATTATACCAGAAACCCACATGTATACAACAGGTTCCCCTCTTCAGACCTTTCCCTCTGCTGTGGCCTATGTCAAAGTTTCAATATAGTTCTACCTGCATGAGTGCAATCCAGCTCTCTTCTTCACACCATTATAATCATAATATTGGAAGAATACCCTTATATGGACAAGACAGACTGGCAGGGGATATGATTCAGCCATTGTGTGCAGCCCCTTTGTTGTGATTACAATTCAATGAATTAGAAAGCATAAAGCTATTGTATCAGTGGCTTGAATGGCCGAATTATATATTTATACACATGTGTGTACACACATTGCTAGTATTTCCATGTGCGTGTAAAGGAGGGAACAATTCAAAATTGCTATTCACATATACAGACGTACCTTGGAAATCGAACGGAATCTGTTTCGGAAGTCTGTTCGACTTCCAAAACATTCATGAACCAAGGCGCGGCTTCTGATTGGCCGCAAGAAGCTCCTGCAGCCAATCGCCGCGGAAGCCCCACTGGACGTTCAGCTTCCAAAAGAACGTTTGAGCACCGGAACAATCATTTCCGGTTTTCAATCATCCGGGAGCCAAAATGCTCAGCAACAAAGCTGTTCGAATTCCAAAGTGTGACTGTACTGTGTAAAGGCCATATGTGAACTTAGGTATACACTTCTTCTGTAATGCAAGGCAAAAGAGCATCCAGAAATTTGCTCCACCTGCAGTTAAATCAGCAGCGAGAGACAGTGAGTTTAGCTCACTTTAGAAAAAAGTTGTTTTCACAGCACTATTATACATACTGGGTTGTTTCTCATGAAGTCACTGCACAAAATCAACAATTGGTATGTTTTTAGGAACTAGCCCATATTGCATAGAATCATAGAGTTGGAAGGGACCCTGAGGGTCATCTAGTCCAACCCCTGCAATGCAGGTACGGGGATCAAACCTGCAACCTTGGTGTTATCAGCACCATGCTCTAACTAGCTGAGCTATGCTGTTGTGTTGCACACATCATGCCAGAGCAGTCTGTAGTATGGCCCTAGGTAAAAACATGGCTTTGTATCCTCTCACACACTTCTGCCAAACTCATCTCAATCCGGAGTATACACCTTAGAAACCAAATTGCTTTGACTGGAGAAATGGCAACCAAGTCTGGACATGGACCTTCTAGAGACTGAGAAATGTAATATTGCTCATGATCCAGTTAGGTCAAACTTAAAAACATGCTACTGGAGATTTGTATGGCTACCTGAAACAAAAGTTAGTTTATTCTAAGACACAAGCCAAGGAAAGTTGTGGGCAAAACAGTAGGGGCCATACAAAATCTCATTGCAGTAATTCTGCTTGGTGAACGTTGTGCCAGTGCTTTTATTGGAGGATGCTATTTTTCTGAAGATTCTTAAGCTTATCACTGTTTGGAAAACAAGGAACAATAATATAAAACTATTTTATTGATAAGTGTTCACCAGTATTTACAATAAAGTAAATAATATACAGCCTGCACCTTCCACTTACTAAAAAGTTTTTACCTGGTCCCTTAAGAACCAAGTAGCCACAAATACTAAAGACTTGAAAGGACTAAACTGGGGGAAAGATGCATGCACAACAGTCGTATAGAACTACAAAAACACTTGTGAATTTGATCAATCTGCCATTAGGGTTCACTATTAACTATCAAGTTTTATAAAACACTTTGCCTAAAATGAAGAAAGCAGTACCAAATGCTCTCCTGTAATAAAACAAAACAAATAGCACAAACTCTTTTTTTTCTTTCTGTTTATGCAAAACACATTACTTCAAAAATAATCAAACTTGTCTCATTAAAACGTAGCTTTCAACATTTCTGGTAAGTTATAATCATACATATATAAAAAAGGGGGGAGGGGGATAACTCAAACAATTATTGCGCTTCATCCTCTGGGCAGGAGTGCCAGGTTAGTCGTTCTTCATAAAAAGCAATTACAATCTGAGGGCATTTAACATTTGCTTCTTTGGCGAGCACCAGGTCTGCTTCATCAGAATCTTTCCTGTTTTAAGAAAAAGAACATGCATTCAGGATTTCGTGAGCCTGCAGTCTGAAGTACCGCTACTCGACCTTTTCAGTAGTAGTTATGCACACAACCCAATCCTAGACACATTTATGCAAAAGTTTGTCTGATTTAATGCAGCAGACCTTTATTCCCAGGCAAGCATGTACATGATTATCATAAACCAGGGGTCTATGCGGCCCAATCGCCTTCTCAATCCGGCCCACGGACGGTCCGGGAATCAGCATGTTTTGACAGGAGTAGAATGTGTCCTTTTAAGTGGTTTAAGTCCTTTTATTTAAAATGCATCTCTGGGTTATTTGTGGGGCATAGGCATTCATTCATCCCCCCCCCAAAAAAAATATATATTCCAGCCCACCACATGGTCTTAGGGACAGTGGACCGGCCCATGGCTGAAAAAGGCTGCTGACCCCTGTTATAGACTTATCATTAAAAGGGTCAAAGGAATTCAGAATTTCTGCTCTAATTATTCAAAGTTTGCTTAACTGAGAATCTTGGGCAGTAGCAGCTCTTCAAAGGGGGGGGGGCATACTAGGTATCTCTTCCCATTTGTAACAAAACCTAAGTTGCTGTTCACTGGGTATCTTATGCCATCAGTAAAGCAGTCATTTGGAACTGAGAGGTAAAGTAGTCAATAGTAACTGTTGGGGGAGATTTCTGAATGTAGCTGCTAATGCTGCAGGAGTAAGTAGGCCTTTGATTCAAGAACACATGAATAAAACTGAGCTGCAAGTGTGTAACTAAGGACTTTGGAGTAGAAATTCAGTCTTAAACTGTAACAATTTAAATAATCATACATAAAAGTACAGTAAAAACTAAATACCAGCAATAGTGGTTTAAGTTTGATAGAGGTGGTAACAAAATAGGCTAGGTCTCTCTTCAGTTTAAAGCCTAGTACTAGTTAGTTTGGTACTAAACAGCAACAAGAGTGCCCTTAAGTTTTCTAAACTCCTTAAGTAGTAAAGGACCAAAATTACCAATGCTCAGAGAGAGGACCAACCCAACCACCAACAGTCTTTACATCCTATCAGTCAGTTTATAACAGGAAAATTATATTCTTTATCAAGGTCAGTCCAAGACACACTTTGCACTGCTGCGGAAATTTCCATTCTACCACTTACCATTTCATAAGAAACATAAGTTCCCCACTACTGTCTGTGGCTCCAATTATTCGCTCAGGATCAAGACCTCTTGCAAATCCCCTGGGTTTATCAACCTGTTTGATTAAATATGGAGTAACATTTAAATATGTTCCAACTACTGTAGAAAAGCTGCCATAGAACACACAAATCCCCTCAAAGGTCTTCCAGAATTTCAGCAAAAAATAGTAATAAAAAATTACACCAAGCTTTCAGTTCTTTTACCCATCAATTCTTTCATTTCACTTTCCATGAACATACTGATAACTTCACAGTACTACAATATTAACTTTCTGCAGATCAGAAGACATTTTTAGAAACTTTTCAGACTGAATGTTAAAGAGGATACCAAGATGTAACCTAGTACAAGCAGCTTGCAAAACTGGGCTATAACAGCTCTTAGGAGATATTTAAGTTTGTATTCATCACATGTTAAAAGCTGCATGGCTAACCACTATATTATGATTTTATACCAACCTTTGTTCAAGGAACCGAGGATACATTACATCAGGAATAGGGAGCCTATAGCCTTCCAGATTTTGTCAGGCTCAAAACTCCTCAGTACTGCAATCATGACCATTGGACAGGATGATGGAAGTTGTATCCCATCCACCAGGTCACCACCATGCCTAGCACACCTGCTTCTTCCACACCTGCAGGGTATCTTCCCAACTCCATGAAATAGATTGGGATGAGTAGCATGGCTGAACAGGCATTTAAACCTGGGTGTTACTGACCCTAGTCCAACACACTAACCACTACACCTCATCAATGTATTTTAGGAGAAATCCAAACACCAAACCAACTTACAGACTCTCTTTTTTTCTTTGATTTGCTGTCATCAGACTCACTATCGGAAAGAGATTTTCTTTTGGCGCCCTCTGTCTTTTCTTTACCAGCTTTCTGGGAACTCAGAAAAGCTTCTATTAACTCTGGACAATCCAAGTTTTCTTCTGGTTCCCATGTGTTATCGGCACTGAAACAGAATTCATGGGGGGAAAAAAAAAGAATGGAAGTAATTAGAAATCTGGATCAGATGGCCAAACTCTATAAAGTCAAACCACCCACCCTAACAAAATGCTAAATTGTGCTCAGTTATTAAAGACACTGAAGTCATATTTCTCTGCAATTTAATTTTATGTAGGCCAACTTGGGTCACAACAGATTCTGTAAAAATATTTCCAACCTACTTGTGTACAATCATTTAGACTTAAGATTATGGGGAAATGGTCATGGGTTACCCACGTGTAGACAGTAAGGTTTGTTAAATGAGCTGAATTATTATTTCAGAGTCCACAAATAGTAACATAAGCAACGCTATATATGTCAATTGAGCCCTATAATAATGTTCAGTTTGCAAACATGCAGAATTGCACACAAGGAAAAGAAATTTTTTGGATGTTTCTAGACTTAGGGCGAGTTTCTAGTCTTTCACAAGTGCCAGGAGAAATGAATCAATATTCTTCTGTTCCTGGTAAACTAGATTTTTGTTTTTAAAAACCTTGGAATGCTTACTTTGGTCAATGCTGCTATATTGCTATTTATAGTAGAGAAGTAGCATGTTTAGCTCAATAACAAAGCAAGGTTCTAGAAAAACATATGCTTGTTAATTATGCATAACTGGGACAGACTATGTTACACTTTATAAAAGCTTGCAAACTAGATGGGGTGAGAGAAGAGGTCTTGCACTCAACAAGGACCAGTACACTAAGAAACATTTTCAGCAAGATGTATAGAATTGACTGAGAAGAAAAAAGCAGATTATTTTTGTAGTTAAGATTTGTAACCTTTTATAAAGTGACTAATGTGTGTTAACAAAGATGGCAGCATGGTTCTTGACCATATTAATTCAAGTTTTAATTTCTAGTTCAATCAGCAGCTTTTGGATTACAGTGGTACCTCTAGTTAAGAACTTAATTCGTTCTGGAGGTTCACTCTTAACCTGAGGTACCACTTTAACTAATAGGGCTTCCCACCGCCACCGTGCAATTTCTGTTCTTATCCTGAAGCAAAGTTCTTAACCCGAGGTACTATTTCTGGGTTAGTGGAGCCTGTAACCCGAGGTACCAATGTAGTTATAGTCGGGTGTCAAATGACACATACTGCCAATAGTGAAGGGAGGTATTGCCATCGGTAGCATGGGCTGAAGAGGCGTCCACACAGCCAGAGCTGTTTTTATTTTTTACTACAGCCCACCACACAGCTATTATTAATTTAAATCATTTCTAAACAGGCCAGTCAGAGTTTTACAGGGAAAAGTGATTCTTTTTGGCTATGTGGTTCTTTCAAAATGTTTTCAGCTCTACACATGGAATTGTGGCCTACACCCCCAACCAACCAAGCACTGAAAATAGTAGTTCTGGATGAAGCTCCTTACTCAGTAAATCCTTTCCATTTCAAGAAGTACTCAACCTTGCCATTAACTACACGCCTGTCCAGGACTTTCTCCACAACGAATTCTTCAGGTTCTGTTTCTTCAACTTTTTTGCCTTTGCCATTCTGCTTTTTCCCCATTTTATGCTACAAAACAAAATCATTCGAAAAGATGTATTTTAACAGTTATACTGCTATTTGATTCTAGGTCTACAGGACTTAAGATTCTCATGGAAAATTTCGTATTTTGCTCAGTGAGAGAACAAATTATTGTAAAAAGAACCCTTCTGGGTCAATGAAGTTAATTCCAAATCTCTTTTGCAATGAATTCTAAATCCTTTCGTTTGAAAAAATTGTTTGCTATTTTGTTCCATATAGCTTATTGCCATTCACTTTGTACAGATGGGTATTAAAAGATACTGTATAAAAAGTAAGCTTTAAAAATGAATTTTGGGGAGGCACACAGAAGATAGAAGGGTGAGCTTCTTTAGTTTTTTAAATTACTTGCATACATCTTAGACCAATAGTCTTCAACTTTTTCAGACCTACCTTCAATTGAAACATGCATTTGGGAACCCATTTCTTAAATTTTACTACAAATAGCAAAATTTTCACTTTATATTGTGGTAGTGCTGCTGCTGCAAGCCACCTTTGATCAGTTAGCAACCCAGTAGTAGGTCCTGAGCCATTAGTTGAAGACCAGTGAGTTATATATGCCTTGTTAATAGCAATTCAACAACAGTTAATAGCAGCTTGAGCATTTTTCAGATGCTAAATCTGAAACATTTATTTAACAATTACATCCATGCATGATTTTGACTTTCATTATGGACAGCAGAACATACATGTGCAAAAACATACTTGTGCAAAAGTTTCAGAGTTGTTCTTGATAAAGCTAGGTTGAAACTTTGTGTTTTACTGTTCACTAATACAAATGCCTATTGCATTGCTGGAACTTTATAAATCAAGCACAGCACACTTTAAATAAGACTGAAAATCACTTTAATTTAAGCTCCACTTAACAGCCAAACATTCAGATAACAAAGTACTACATCCACATCATCCTCAAAGCATTCCAACTTCAGTAATGAACAATTTAGTGTAACAGGATTATTATTTTTCCAAATTTTCCCTATGCATTGGCTTGAAACCAGTATATTAGTGTCATGCTAAAAGTGCTGCAATTCAAGAGTCAAGTGCAGAATGGCAGACAGAGTTTGGAAGCACTCCTTAGGCAGTGTTCAAAACTCACATTGTTCAGGCGCATTTTGTGACAGGTAATTTCATTAGTGCAAGCAGTTTCTGAGCTTGGGCACAATAATGCACCTAAGACTTCACATTAAAACTACAGAGTAGAAGGAAAGAAAGACCTTTTTCTGCCTTTCCACTTCCAATTACTCTCTGAAGATTGGAGAAGAGACCCTCTGAAGAATATTAGGTGGTGGGCAGGGGAAGGACTAGATCAGGGGTGTCAACTGGTCGACCGTGATCGACCCCTGGATGATCGTTGTTGATCGATCGCGGGATCCCTATTGCTCGTGTTGTTTAGAGTTATGCTTCCGCCCCCTCCCCAATGGTCTTTCCCTGCATCGCGTTTAGTGTGTGTTCCTTTGTTGTCTGCTGTAGCTCTGCATTCGTCTCTTAGCAGCTGTTATTGGTGAGCAATTTATTTTAATTTTGCACATTTAGAAGTCTGACCTACTCCTCTAAAAAAAGCTCTCAACAACTTTGACCTGCCCCCCTAAATGGGTAGATCACTGCTAGCCCCCTCCCCCCAAAGTAGATCACAGTCTCTTGGGAGTTGGACGTACCTGGTCTAGACCATGTGAAAAATGAACGTAATATTTTAGCTGCAGTTCATTCATTTTCAGCTTTGTATTCTTGTTATAAAACGCGCACTGACATATTCTGTTGTTGTGCCAATAACTTAGGTTTAAGGTGCCCTTTAGCTCCTAGCTCTCATATCTCAGTTTCTAACACCATCCTTAGGCATTCAAAATAGCAAACATGAGGAATCATGTTGTATATTGATCACCAAACATTCCTTTGGAGAAAACTAGATTGAAGGAAGAAATGGCCATGATTCAGAAATCCCATGTTCTGTCAGCTCCATAATAATATACTTGCTTTTCTTGAGTGCTAGATGGCAAATGTCTTTTGATACTCAGTTAAGTGTCAAAACAGCTTGACAGAGGTATGATATAGGAAATCACCTATTCAAAATGGGTATGGCAGAAATGAAAAAAATACATATGTACAAGAACATTGCACATAATATGCCCAAACAGGCAATGTTGATGTCTTTTGCCCTCCAAGTGCTACCAAGATTACCAAGGGAATGTGAATATGTGAAGACAGTTTCCATCAGTTAAGACTGCCAGTGTGTGGAGGTTGTTTCCTCTCTAACTATGGGAATTTCAGAGATATACAAAACTAGCAACCTACTTGTGCAGTTATACTGTCATATCCCTGAAAACATTTTGAATAAAGCACAAAAGAAATCAAAAAGTTTACGAATATACGCATGCCATATTACTAATTAAGCCTGCATTGACACTCTACATGACCCTTTCTGCATTGACATGCATTGTCATTCATGTCCAATCTTGCATGTGAGGAGGGGCATACACCAGTCTGTCAAACAGACCTACAGTATTTTAAGCTCTTGGCGGAGTGGAGGGATTTGCAATTCATGTTATCCCTTCCTTAGAAACCATGCACTGATACAATGAGTTCTCAATTTTCAAACTGCACCCTCAGTAAAAGCTCAACTGTTGATTTTAAAATATTCCCAGCGTATTTTAAGCAACTGATACATAATTAAAATTTATGCATTACTAATAATGGCATACCATTGTACAATGTAATAATATATTACGTAAGACCTGTACTGTAGATAGATATGTGAAAGCAAATGGAAAAAAGCTGGGAATCATTGAATGGGGACATTATCTGTCTCCTCCTTCTCCCCTCCCAAAGGAAAATTTTGGGGGAACACTGAAAAAACTCTATCATCTACTCTTTGCAATTAGTTAAATGCACCAATACTTTTAGAGATGCAATCCTATGTGTGAGCAGGAAGCACCATGATGAGCCAGAAAAAGCATACAAGACCCAGTGCTTACTGGGCAATAGTATGCATTGTTAGGAGTTAAGCACTCATTTAGGAGTTGTAAACACTTGCAAATTTCTAGGTTCCCCAAAAGCATTGTTCTGTGAAAATCCCAGAACTTTCTTTCTGTATGGAATACTGCTATTGGGAACGATGGGAGTATCATGCAGAGACACAGAAAGAATTTTCTCTTAATTTACAACCTTCACAGCCTGTTTGAAACTGTTGGGTTTTTTTAAAGCTTAAGTTCACAATTCAATGTTTTTGGAGATCCAATTTTTTTACAGCTCCTGAAGGAGTTTTAAACTCTGAAATGTGAAGAGCAATAACAAAATAAATAGCGCCAGAACTTGTCTCTTCCATTTCCTGTCTCCTCACCTGGGAGTAAAACCAAATGGGTGTGTTTTCTGTGTAAACATCCCTTGGATTGATATGTAATTAATAAATACAGTAAATAGGACAACTGATAGATCAATGATGAATTTTATGATCTTAAAACAGTAAAATAAGCTTAGGTTTGACAGCAAAGACAATATTGCATCCATATTTAACCCATCCCCACTGAATTCCATTTTCCCAAACAAAAAATGAGTATTTTTCCTCCATAATTTCAAATTTCTAGAAACGCTACATCTCTAAATTTACTTACTGAATCTTACAGACACAACTAATTTTTACTATTGAATTCCCATTGCCACCTGTCTTAAGAGATCACTTTCCTCTCTCAGGAACTATTGATAATACTCCTAGTTCAGCACCTTCTAAATTGCATGCCAAGGGCCAATACTGCTCCAGGAGAGGGGCTGAAGTGTATCTTTGAAAAATGAAGCTACTATGTTGGCTGCATCCTTGTTCCATACTTGGTGGAATGAGGAGGGGCAAAGGCAGCACTGATTCTCTCCTCTCTTTAGTAATATATGTGCAGCAAAACATTATCCCAGGGAAAAACGAATGACGCATCGGACTGCATGATCACAAGTCCCTAAGTGTTGGCTGGCCTGGCCTCAGTTATCTAGCAGTGCCTCATCTAAATCCGTGGGACTTACCACAGAGTAGATCTGCACAGAACTGAGCTGTTGGTACCTCACCTTGCTCTGTATTTCTGCTTGAGGCCAGAAATTATCCCTAGTGCTGCTTCCCCAGCTCCAAAAAGCGATGAGGACAAGATACCCGAAAGTGCTTCAGACACACAGTGCTACTTGGGGACACTGACTTCCCTTCCCTTCTGGCTGCAAACGTGGAAGGGAGGAAAGTAAGAATTCATTTGGGTGCTAGGAAGCCAAGGAACTCAATGCACATTTGTTACCATGCAAATCATTCTAGCTTCTTTCTCCAGCTCCAGAGGTAAAAGGGACTAATTTGTGCAGTTGGTGACACATGCTACATCTTGTAGGACCATAGCCATTCTAACGATCACCTTCAACTAGGAGCTAGAGAAGCACATGGATCTTCCCTCAAGTTGTGTTAAGCTTGCAAGAGTGAGGAAGGATGTCCATTACGTCAGTGCTTCTCAAACTATCTGATGTGGTGGATGGGCAACATTTCCCAATTCCATGTGCCAGGGACCAATATCTTACTTGGTCCCTGAAGCATCCCAACCTGGACTATGGTGGAGTTGCCTTGGACCAGCAGCTGATCAAGGACCACCACTTTGAATAGTACTGCATTATGCTACAATTAACTAAAGCATGGGAATTCCCAAAAATATTCCTACTGCTTAGAAACGCAGCTTCATCCTTGACTGAGTGAACACAGGTAACAAGGGGGCAGGCCACCATCCTGTACAGTCATACCTCTTGTTACGTTTTTTCAGGTTGTGTCCCGCGGCGACCCGGAAGTACCGGAAAGGGTTACTTCGGATTTT